ATTCCAAAAGAGAAAAAGAACAACAAAGAATGAAAAACAAAGCAAAACGTTGTCTTTTGGTGCCTGGGACTGGTGCTGTGCTGGTCTGGAGGAGAGGATGCCTGCATTGGGCCAGTCTTCCTCCTGTAGATAAGCAGTTGCGAGGCTGGGAGTGGCAGCATTTGGTGTCCTGCTTCCACTGGGATCGCTGAGCTGCTGTGTGAAATCCCACTGTGTTTGTGGGGGCAGGAAAATGGCGATACCCCAATCTCTTCTTTTCCAACTGGGTATATCAACCCACACTGTTTAGGCAGCCCTCACAGAATAGTGAGGGTGGTCAATTTGCCCTTCTCCACAGTTCTGCCTTGCCTTCTAGGCACTCAGCTGGGATTCAAAACCCAAAGTCCTTTTGTTTTTAAACATTTATTCATTCCTGAGAGAGAGAGAGAGAGAGAGATCAAAAGTGTGAGTTGGGGAGGGGCAGAGAGAGGGAGACACAGAATCCCAAGGAGGCTCCAGGCTCAGCTGGCAGTACAGAGTCTGATGCAGAGCTGGAACTCATGAATTCTGAGATCATGACCTGAGCCGAAGTCAGACACTTAAACTGACTGAGCCCTCCAAGTGCCCCCAAAACCCTAAGTCTTAAAGGACCCAGATCAGTGTGGCTCCTCTCTCCTGTTCTAAAGTAGAGTCACTCAGCCCTGCTGATAAAAGGCCATTGGCTCGCACCTGCAAGGTTTTGTTTTGTTTTGTCATTGAAAGGCAATAAACCCTCTTCCCATATTATTCCTGGAAGGGGACTGTCTCTCCTAGTGTGCCCCTGAGTTCGCTACACTGTGGTATGCACTCCAGGGCAGGATCTCTCCTCCCCAGGAGGGTGCCCCAAGGCTCTTGGCTTTGCGCAAGAGAAAGTTGGGCACTTTCAGAACTTCAGAGTTACAGCTCCTAAGGCTGTTTTCAAAAAAAGAAATATACTTTCCATATTTTTTGTTCCCTTTTCATGGTTCAGAGAGGTTTTCCTATTGTGCTAACTTGATGGTGCCCTTTCACAGCCCCTCTCTCTCTCCCTTGTGTCTTTCCACAAAAAGGGTTCCCTCCCCTCCATGCCTATGCTGTTTTATCTCCCCAGTTCACATACATGCACCTCAATCCTGCCAAGCTGTCTCCCTCCAGCTGTGGAGATCTGTCACTCCACAGATTGATTTCCTGTAATCTGTAATCCAAGTAATCTGACCTCAATACAGCTGTGTTTGAGGTAGGAGGAAAATCCTGGTCCCCCTACTTCTCCACCATCTTAACTCCCTCTCCATAAGAGACTCCTAAAGATAGAAAACAAAATGAGGATTGATGGAGGGAAGTGGGTGGGGGATGGGCTAAATGAGTGGTGGGTATTAAGGAGGCACGTGTTTTGAGGATCACTGGGTCTTATATATAACTGATGAATCAGTAAACTCTACTCCTGAAAAATGTATTATACTGTAAGTTAACTAGAATTTAAATAAAAATTCAGAAAAAAATTATTCACTCATATGTGCAATTTAAGAAGCAAAACAAACTAGCAAAGGCATGAGAAAAAAGAGAGAAACAAGGCAAATGAAGAAACAGACTCTTAATTATAGATAACAAACTGATGGTTACCAGAAGGGAGGTGGGTGGGGGTATGGGTTAAATAGATGATGGGGATTAACTCATGCACTTATGATGAGCACTGGGTGTTGTATGGAAGTTTTGAATCACTATGTTGTACACCTGAAACTAATATTACACTGGTATATTACCTGGAATTTAAATAAAGACTTAAAAATGGAAACACATAAAACAAGGTTATATATTAATAGGTTGATGAAAATGATATGACTAGAGCCTTGCAGAAACCCAATCCTGTATTTTCCCTTAGAGCAGTGGTTCTGTACTTGCTAAATCAGTGTTTGAAGTCATTTCATGATACATACATAATGATTGTGAATAATGTGAATCCATTGTGTATCCTTTGGAAGTTAATGTTCTTTTTGAAAATTCTCAGTCTGATTTTAGGGCTTTTGTAAGTAATCTGAATTTTCACACTATCTCTTTTAAGGTTATTTTAGTCTTTGATACTCTGAGGTTTACTAAATTGTATCTAAGTGTGTATTACTTTGTATGCATCTGTTTTGGGACTCCGCTTTGTCCTTTCTGAATCTAAAAAAAAATTATTCCTCTCACGAGTTATGGGAGACTCTCAGGCATTATTTCTTTGAATATAACCTTTCCCACATTACCTTTATTATATGGAAACTTCGTGAGATTTCAGATATTAGAACTTTTTATTCTGTTTTCTTCATTTCTAAGCCTCTCTTCCATATTACCATTACTTTTCACTCTACATTCAGATCTATATTTAGTTTGCTAATTCTCTCAGCTCTATCTAATTTTCTTTATCTAGTTTGCTCTATCCCCAGCTGTGAACAGGGCCCATAATGACCATTACTTTGTCAATTCCTCTTCTTTTAGCTGGCTGATAAGACTTTTCTTTCCCACACTTATGCTAATATTGTAGCCTTCAGGTGTTCTAGCTTTATTCAGAAAGTTCAGTTTAAGCACCTCATCTTGTGTGGGCCCAATGGGGGCTTTGCTTAGGTGCTTACCTACTGTTGATAGTTTCTTCTTTCACTTTGGTTCTTTCCCCTGATGATTTTACTTTTTTTTTTCTTTTTTTGCCAGCTAAACTCTATTTAAAAAGACATTTGTAGTTCTTCTAGTATTTCAAGGTGTTTTCCTAAATCTATGGGCTTCCATGTATAGCAAGGGGTTCATGTCTTTTTAGGATGAAGGGGAAAAACGCTTTGTTGCATTAAATTTTCTTTTGTGATGGATCCTCTATATTTTTGGCCAATATTTTATACCATGATTAGTTTTAACTATTGATATTAAATAAAGGTTGGCTATTATAGGCATAGTCTATCTTCAGTTTTTGCAGTTTATAATAAATTTCACGTTTAAGGGAAGCTGAAATCATTCTCTAAAAGCAACAAAGAATATATTAATGAAATGAAATCATCTAAAATAATTGGCTTCTTAATTTAGTTTTAGCTATAGTGATTTTTTTTTGCAGAGATAATTCTATATGGAAGATGATTTGGTGAATGAAAAATTCATTCTTTTTTTTCTTTATTTCCATCTATATCAGTGATTCAGATTCTCAGCAGGGTTTGGTTTTTTTCCCCTCCCAGGTGACACTTGACAATGGCTGGAGACATTTTTGGTTGTTGCATTTGGGTGTTAGTGTCATATAGTGGCACAGCCCAGGGATGCTGATAAACTTCCTAGAATTCACAGGATGGCCACCACAACAAAATATCAGTCTGATATTATCTGACCTAAAATATCAATTGTGCTTAGGTTAAGAAACCCTATTTATAAAAGGAACTATAACTTTCTCAGCTAGCTGAAATTAATCTTACTTATAAATGTGAAGTATATTTTACATTAAAATTACCCACAAATTCATACACATGTACGTACTTTCTTAATTCCAGGTTATCTGCTAATGAAAAATACTCAGGGTAGCCACTTCATCCCTATCATTATCCATAAAGGAGGTGTTAAATTAGAACCATAAAAACATTGAGAGATGAATAAGGTAGCTTACTTGATGTTTTAGCTTTGGTAAATAAAACAATCAAATAATTCCTATTTACTGATAGTGATATAATCAATCAAAAAATAATTCCTTTATATGGTGTATGTGTACCTTTAAAAAAATTCTACATCTTTTTTGTAGATGTCCTGAAGAAATACAGAATCAAGATTAAAAAAATGTATTTTACCTTTTTCTAAAGAACAGGGTCACCTGGGTGGCTCAGTCGGTTGGGCGTCTGACTTCGGCTCAGGTCATGATCTCATGATTTGTGAGTTTGAGCCCCGCATTGGGCTCTGTACTGACAGCTCAGAGCCTGGAGCCTGCTTGGGGTTCTGTGTCTCATTCTCTTTCTGCCCCTCCCCCACTTGTGCTCTGTCTCTCTCTCTGTCTCTCAAAAATAAATAAATGTAAAAAAAGAAATTAAAGAGGAGAAAACACATAGAATCTTTCTAAGTAGGAATTTAATCTACACAAACCAGTTGTTTTGAAATAATCCACATTGATTTGTCATATTAATGTGCATATACTTCATATTTGGTTTTTTTTGGGTGTGTCATGAAAATAAAAGATTTATAGTATTGCATATTGGGATCTTGTTGAACAGAGTACTTTTCTTTCCATCGTATTTTTTTCTTTTTTAATTTAGAGTTTTTAATCTTAAAATAGTTTTAGGCTATTTTTCAAAAGAAATTGCAAAAATAACAAAGTTCCTATATACCAGTTACCAAGCTTCTCCTAATGTTAACATCTTATATAACCATAGTATAAACAAGAGGAAAAAATCACGACAATATTATTAACTAAACTATAGATCTTACTTGGATTTCACCAATTTTTCCACTGATGTTCTTTTTTCTGTTTTAGGACCCAATCCAGGATTCCATATTATATTTAGTCAGTATGTCTCCTTAGTCTTCTCTACTCTATGACATTTCTTCAGCATTTTATGAATGTGACATTTGAAGAGTACACTGGTCACTTACATCATGGAATGTTTCTCAGTTCAGAATTACCTGATGTTTTCTTTTGAGTACATTGAGAGTATGTTTCGGCAACAACATAATAATGCCACCATAGAGGTGATGGTGTACCTTCTCAGTTTATCATTTCAGAAGATAAATAATGTTGAAATATCTTATTACTGGTGATGTTATCCTTGGAAAGGGGGTGTCTGACAGGTTTCTCTACCATAAAGTTGCTATTATATCTTTCTTGCCATATCATTGTTTTTTAATAGAAAACAAATGTGAAAGACATAAAAAATATTCAGTTTCTGCACTTTGTAATTAGTTGGTTTAAATAACATAATTTTATCTGATAATTTTTATGATTTTAATATCTTGTTTGCAGGTAGTTAGGCTGGGAAATCAACTTTTTTGAATAGCCTTAATATGTATTATCAAAACATCTATTTAACTTGAAGTTTGCTGCAAAAGAACTTAATAGGAATGCCAAGAAATGTGATAAAGAAGGAAAGACTGAAAAGACCAAGATTAAAAAGGCAAGTCATTTTTACATTTTTCCTTTTTTTAAACTCATGAAGTGGTCGCAGTCATGTGAGAGTACTTGAATCATTTTATTTTATATTGAGGAAAGATTACCAGCCTTAGCATTCTAAACCAAATTCTATTTACGTAATTATTTACTATCCAACAGTAAGAAATAAAAAGTAACCATTATTATTTATATGTGCAAGTATTCCTCACAAGACAGAGTGTAACTGTTCAGTTACCTATAGCTAAAGACTATCCTTTGGTTTGTAGCCAAAACTACTCTTACTGAGAAGTATAAAGCCTATATGCAAGAATAATCTTTATATAGCATTAATGCTAAATAGCTAAAATAGCATTAATTTATATAGCAATAATAATCTTTACATAGCATTAATGTATGTTTTGGTTTATGTATTGTGTATTTGCTAGGAAAATTTATAGGACTCAGCATATAGTTGTGCTCATGGCTGTGATGTATTACCCTAAAAGGATACAACCCAAAATAAATAAAGGGAAAAGGCATATGGGGCAAAGTCTGGAGGAATCTGGGCTCAAGCTTTCAAGAATTCTCTCTAGTGGAGTCACACAGGACAAGTTTAATTCTTCTATCAACAAAGTGTGACAACATGTGTGTAATTTTCTCTGCCAGGAAGGAGAGTTTTCCTGTGCCTAGAAGTCTAACACTTTTTTTTTTTAATTTTTAACGTTTATTTATTATTGAGAGACAGAGAATGAGCAGGGGAGGGGCAGAGAGAGAGGGAGACACAGAATCTGAAGCAGGCTCCAGGCTCTGAGCTGCCAGCACAGAGCCCGACATGGGGCCTGAACTCACAAACTGCCGCACAAACCGCGAGATTATGACCTAAGCCAAAGTTGGACGCTTAACCGACTGAGCCACCCAGGTGCCCCTAGAAGTCTAACACTTTTATTAGTAGTCATGGAGGCATTCTCTGCCTAGCACACACCAAAATTTTAGTTTCCCAGAAGGATATCCAGTGTTTGACATAAACCACACTGTATGTACAGTTTAGATAGAGCAAGCCACTCTTAACCGTTCTGGGAATGATGTGAACCCACCTCAAATCCAAGTTCTTAGGTGCCAGCCTAGTGCCAAACTTGCAATTAGACCTGTCTGAGGATAGCATTTTCAGGTTTTCTATGTTAACTCTTTTATGCACATGTGTATTTATATATTTTAAAATATTTAAATGCCTTAGACATTTATTTTTAATTTTTTTAACTTTATTTTTTTTTTTATTTTAAGAGGGAGAGTGAGAGAATATAAGCAGAGGAGGGCAAGAGAGAGAATCCTAAGCAGGCTCCGCTTTGACAGAGTGGATCCCAATGTGGGGCTCGAACGCATGAACCCTGAGATCATGACCTTAGCCAAAGCCAAGAGTCAGACGCTTAACCGACTGAGCCACCCAAGCACCCCATTGTTTTAGATATTTAGATCTTTAGTAATAGCATATATTCAAGCCGTAAATTGAGTCACTTTATGTATTTTTTTATGCTCTTTTTAAAAAACGTTTATTATTTTAGAGAGAGAGAGAGAGAGAGAGAGGCAGGAGCAGAGAGAGAGGGAGACACAGAATCTGAAGCAGACTCCAGGCTCCAAAATGTCAGCAGAGAGCCTAATGCAAGGCTTGAACCCACCAAGTGTGAGATCATGACCTGAGCTGAAGTCAGACACTTAACTGACTGAGCTATCCGGGTACCTATTTATACTATTAATAGAGACAACTTTTAAGGGAAGAAAACTTTCAGAAAGGAAGATGGAAGTAATTAAGCTGAGTTAGAAGAAAAAGTAAATTTAAAATTGACATATTAGGATTATCCTTTTCTAAAAACATAAGCCCAACAACTACAGGAAAAAGAAAGCATGTCTCTAGAGGCAAGGGAAATAAAAGCAAAAATGAACTTTTGGGACCTCATTAAGATAAAAAGCTTCTGCACAGCAAAGGAAATAATCAACAAAACTGAAAGGTAACCGACAGAAGGGGAGAAGATATTTGAAAATGACATATCTGATAAAGGGTTAGTATCCAAAATCTATAAAGAACTTATGAAGCTCAATAACCAAAAATATAAATAATCCAGTGAAGAAATGGGCAGGAGATATGAATAGATGCTTTCCCAAAGAAGACATCCAGATGGCTAACAAACACATGAAAAGATTATCAATATCACTCATCATCACAGAAATACAAATCAAAATCAGAAGGAGGTACCACCTCACACCTGTCAGAATGGCTAAAATTAACTCAGGAAACAACATATATTGGTGAGGATGTGGAGAAAGGGGAACACTTTTACACTGTTGGTGGGAATGTAAACTGGTGCAGCCACCCTGGAAAACAGTATGGAGGTTCCTCAAAAAAATTTAAAAAGCTACCCCATGACCCAGCAATTACACTAGGAATTTATCTAAAGGATACAGGAGTGCTGATTTGAAGGGGCACATGCACCCCAATGTTTATAGCTGCACTATTGACAATAGCCACAGTATGGAAAGAGCCCAAATG